TAACACAGATTTATTACCTTGTTAAGCACTGCTGTCATATGAGACAGTGAATTTTGACACTTTTTAGTAATACACAAGAAAATTAGCTACAGAAAGCTTCCCATGTTGTGACTATTGTTTGCGGTTGTCTTAGTCCTTTATTCTACTTCTGACTTGTTTTATCAGACAGGGGTTTTTTTTCAAATCAACACAAGAAATGAACTTTCAGAAACATCTAGCATTAGCATTAGCATCACTCTATCTCTCTTCAGGACTTAGAACGCAACGTTTCTACATTGAGCCACCTCACATCAGCGCTGCTCTTTGGACATGTTTATCAGTATCAGACAGTGCTTCAGTAGTAGCTATTTAGAAAGATGCACATCAGCTAAAGATAACAATATCTGTGAAATTTCATTTGGAAATATTTAGAAAAATCATAAACTAATGTTGTGTTTGTATCAGATGGTCATACTCACATTAGTGTACATCTGTGGAAGCCGGGAGCACAGGTAGAGAAGGGACGATATTGAGCCGATGGCGAAGCCAATGATCTCTTTAGAGCTGAAGGCCTGTTGTCAGGGACACAGCATATTTATAGAAAACAATGATAATGTTAACTTCCTTAAAGAAGTTCAATACTTTTATAATATTATTACCTTAACTGTGCTGATGTCGTCAGTGGAGAGCAAGGCACGACCCCTGAACCCAGAAGTTACCACTTCCTCTTGAGTGCCAAACCCTGAAGTGTGGACAATGTTTGTTGTGACTCCCAGGACACAGGCGACACCTAACACGTGCAAAACCCTCCTGCCTGAAAAACAGACAGCACCTTGGTTTATCTATTGATACTCAAGAGGACAAGTAGGCACATTCTTACATTATTTATACAGAGGTCACTGGGTGAAGGGGTGGATGAGTGGAAAAGGTCACAACAACATGAGACATGATGACATCATGACAGAGCACACATGATATCACTCCTTCCTGTCTGGATCAATATCCATCAGCGATGATATGAGAAGCCTGTCACAGCAGCGATAACATCAAAGCTGCACAGATCCCATCCCATAAATGATCGACTACTAACTTTTCACAACAGTCGAAAAACTGGAATGTCAGATGTGTGGAGTTATTATATGTGTAAAAAAAGAAAAGAAGGTGAAACTACATGTGTAACGTGGGTGTCTAAACGTCTAAACGTTGAGTACCTGTAATACTCAACATTTGAGCATAAAGGTGAAGATGAACTTTTGTGTAAATATTTGAATGGTGCTGCATATCAAAAATATTTCCAAAAGGAGTTAAGCAGATTTACAGTTTGAATAAAAACCTGCAGCAGTATTGAGTAAAAAGTAAAGTCACATTTTGGGATATTTTACTTCCTTGTGTAGGTGAGCAGAATATTGTTGCACAGTTTGTATGTCTTTATCAAGAAAAGTGCCTTTATACAAAAACATGTACTATTTACAATTTAAGAGAAAAAGAGGTATCATACAGGTATCAGTGATCTCTAAACATTCTGTAGAAAGTTTGGTGTTGAGTTATTAAGGACTGTGTGTTTCAGAGGTGGAATATAAACAAGACATTGTAAATCATTTAAGGCAATAACATGTTTCTTATAGTCCGAAATGTGACTTACTTTCAGCCACGTTGTTCCTTATCTTGTAGTAAAAATACAAGGCCAGCATCAGTAAGTCAGCAACAACATAATACACTGCAGTGTATGTCTGTAAACAGCAAGAACACATAACTAGCAGTGTTTGAAAATCAATCAAACATCGTTTGATCAAAAAGACACAAACAAAGAGTGTCTGCTAATAGTTGTGAAAGGATTGATTTGAAATCAGATAAAACCATTTCTTTGATTGATAACAAACTGAAACTTAAGGAAAACAAGATAACATCTGATAACATAGTCACCTGAAGAGGAAGCTGGTCTGCTAAGAAAGAGCCCACAAGATTACAGGTGTCACCTCCCAACCACAGTAACAGGAACCAAATAGAGAGAGCACTGTCCATATTCCCATTTTTACAAGAGCTGTAGTACTGTCTGCAAACACGAAAAAGAGAACATCTGATACAGAAATCCCTTTGATTAATGGAGGCAGTAGAAGAAAAACCCTTACGGTAGTGAGGACATCATGAAGCAGAGGATGGAAAAGAGGCCTAGGTAAACACTGGCCATATCCCTGGCATCCTGGGCACATTCTCCCAGACCTTCCCAAACCCAGACAGACCCATTTGGGCAAAGGGAAGTTAAGTTTCCTTTATCAGTCAATCCAAAGGCAGCATGTGTGAGTGCCGCATTTGACCACATAGTCTGCAGGAGAGAACAGAGATGATAAATCATCACTTTGGTATCAATATGTAGAATATGGTTACATATAAACCTAAGCTCAAGCTCAAGTCAAGCTCAACCAACTCTTCCAACTAAATGAGTTAACAAGTTGTGATCGGCAGTTCTTTGCCCCAAATTGTTTAAAAATCCTACCCACTGGGCACATTCTGCATATGATGCAGTAAGTGATTATTAAAGAAAAATTTAGATTTAAAAAAATTGGCTTTAAATTATTTCTTTAGGAAGTTGTCACCTTAAGATGTGCTTAAGTGGAATGGAAGAGTTAGGAAGTAAAAGCAACTTGTTTCTATAAAGTGAGATTTACTGTCATTCAACATTACATTTATAGTTAAATTGAAATCTGTGCATTCAAAACCTAAAAAAACACAATAGATTCATATACGTAGATATCTGTTGATGTCATTTTTTAAATGACATCAGGATAACTATTTTAGTGATCAATAAAGGTGTGTATTAATTAACACATTTGTGAAGCTTTATTTGTGTTAATCTCAATAAACAAAAACAAAAAATTGGGCAATGACAATACCAGTGAGCTCTTACGTTGAAACAGTGGAGTCATTCACTGGTGAACTAATGCGTAATTTTCTTAAAACAGACGTTCCATTCGAAGACAGTATCTTTGTTCCACGACACAACCATAAATACGGACAAACAGTTCCGTTCAGTTCGGTTCATACGGTCGCGTTGGGTCAAAGGTTTTCGTAAACAACGGAGAAAAACATTCTTTTGTCCTAAATGTCTGCTCTTGATACGCTGATTAGGTCACAGAGCAGTGCTGTTAACAGATATAAGCGTGTCGACCTCGGCACTTCGATTCACACAACACATTCTTCTTTTCTATGACACAACAGGCGATTTGACAGCAACCTATAGATAAAAAACTACACGAAAAAGACACAACTAATCAGCTACAACGACTTTCGCTGAAAGAAAATGTCATCTAAACCTATAAGTCACATGATTTTACAAGTAAAAGAATCACAGTCTAACAAAATGTGACATTTTCCTTGCCTGTGTGGCTGATGGACGTGTCACCTCCTTAGCAGAACGGATAAAAACAGCAATGCAGCGGCCAACTCTGAGCTAACAACAACACGGAAGCTGTACATAAACACGTCGGTTAAGGTGGCAGCTGATTGGTCTGTGGGCTGAGACGTCACTGTACCACGAGACTGGGCTGGCACGTGACTGAAATCTTTAGGGAAACAACTTAAAGCGCTGAAGGAGGAAATAAACATTCAAGGAATTAAATATTGTATTTCTTACTGAATATTGTAGGTATTTAATTTAATGAGTACCTTGGATGGTTTCTAAGCAAAGTTTTACCAACATTTGTTCAGCTGTCAGTTTCACTGTATGAGATAACCACAGTTTGTTGCTACAACAGTCCAGCTGGACAATTTAGGAGATTCATAACGTTTTACGCCAATGTTTCTGTAAAACATCCCCGTAGCTTATGAATATATTTTACAGAAGCAGTGTAACCTTATTTATTTTATATGTTAGCTTTAAGTTGTTGAAGCTAAAATGGCCTTATTTTAATAAACATCTAAAACAGTTTAACAACAATAAAACTGTATATTTTTGGCTTACATAAAGACATAACTAGGTCTTTGGCTGGCCTTATTTTTGCTATATATTTTGCAACTATATCTTTGTCTAGCGTTAATAAAGTACTTTCTATCTATTTTAACTATGTATGAGCTACAAAATATTGTTGATTTTTCTGTAGGGTTCATTTTTCATTAATCTCTTAATTTCTCTAATTTCTCGGTTTTTGTAAATTAACATTTATTTACACCTTAATTTTGGCTACATTTAACCATCTACCCATCTAATCTGTAATCGTACAATGCATTATTACCTGCTATGTTTACAGGCAAACTTACATACATATGAAAAGACAGAGAAAGACTTGACAGGCCAGCTGGTCTTTTGTATTACTCAGACATAGAAGATTTTATATTGCTTTGTTTTAGCAGCTATATATGGTAATAACTATTGCTGACTTGAATATTGGTCATCCTTTTTATCTTACCATATGCAGATGTCACAAAACTAATGTTCTGCTTTAATGTTACTGAGCCTTCTCTCTAGGATTGACTCTGCTATTTCAGGGCTCGCACATTTCACATTCCCTCATCACATATCAACAAGTCTTGTTAGACTGTATTATTTCACTGCACAAAGTAAATCAGTCATTGGTCCTGAGGCCACCTGCATTCTTCAATAAGCTCTGCATTTTAGTAGACAGTCGAGAAAGACTAATGTCCAGTGATATATAGAAACAATATCCAAACCTAAAGAGGCTCGGGGTGTGAGAAGACAACTTCGTATGAAAATGTTCTCAGTCTTTGAAGTGTTCACAGACCTGACACTACTATTTCATGAACTAAATCAGGTATTTTCTCAATGAAAATCTTGTTTTTTTTTTTAGGAATTATTGTTTATGAAAATTATTCATTTAATTTAATCATTTTTTAACAAAAACATTTACATTTTTTCCAAGTAAATATAATAGTTTTTTATAGTTTAGAATGAAAGATTCAAATACTAATAGGTTTTTTTCATATATGAGATCATAGTTTTTTCATTTAGATAAACTCTTAGATAATATTGTCAGAAAATTAAAATAATTATTCATAAAATGTATTACCTTGAAAAGCTGCTCAATTCCAGCAGCAGACTCTAAATGAAAACAGAAAAAGAGTAAAGAGTCCGCTACACTTGATACTTCCTAATTTTCTTATGCGGTTTAAAAAAAGAGAACATGTCAGCTGACCTCGGGTCAGGACTGTCGACTTGGCACATCACTGAGCTGACGCCAGCTCCTCAGTTTTATTTTCATCTTTACTGCAATTTTCCACACTCGACGACACGTGACTGCGTGATCAAATTGCTGACGTCTGTTGATTCTTGTGCGTGTGCTAAAACACTAAGGCCACCGGAAATGGACAGCACGGGGCCAGAGTGGATTAGAACGGATGGAAGAACATGAGTTTAACTGTCTTCACAGCTAACAATGAGTAAAAACATGTATACCACTTTATCGGGCAAAAAACGGTTAGCTGCACAAATCGTTTCAGGTAACGTCATAATATGTATATGTAAGGTTTGCTTTAATTGGTACATCTCAACAGAAACGTGTTGTTCTTTACACTTTAATTTTTAACAGGCAAAAGCTTTAAATTATATGATAAACAAATCAATTAAAATGATGCCCGCAATGTTCTTAAAAATAGTCAAAGAGGTGAAGTGATATCGGTTCAGACAAATAAAATCTAATAAACTTATTCAATTAAAGATGTTTACAAGGTATGTTGTGCACGCGGGTTACAAATGTGTGCAGATCTCGTATAAAAAAAGACTTTCACCTTATAATGAGTGCAAAAGTAGTATTCTTAATATTGAAGGCAACCGTGAATGCTGATCGACACCACTCACAAAACGTTGCCTTACCTTGTATATTTATCCAAAGGGAAGGGCTGCCAGAGTTAAACTTCCTAGTGTCACCACTAGAGGGTGGACGCAGACATTAAACCTAAGTTAAAGAGGCACATGCATATTGCCGTCGTTCAATCTTAATAAAGTACTTGAGATCATTTACAAAAACAAAGGGTTTCTTAAATGTTGAAACAGCGTCACACTTATTAAATGAGTTATCCACATTATTTCTGAGTGAACACATTAGCCCCCATCTTTGTGATCCTTTAAATATGGGTTGTAAGAGCTCTCTTCTAAACCAAGTGTAAATTTAAACTGATCAATTTTATTAGGAGTACAGCCATCTGAAACAAAATGAAAGTAAATGTGTGGTGTTCATTACAGCTACCTTTCATAAGACCAGAAACACTCTGCATGGATCAGTGGCACAACAGAGTAGCAATTTTCATTTTAAACCAAACTGGAAAAAAAGAATGCTATTGTAGAGACACTGGTGCTGCTAAAATGCTGCTGATGTATGGAGTGTGATTTGCTGAAGTCTTTTTTTCATTTCCACCAATTGGTCCATTCTTCCTTACAGCAGGAAGTTAAAGCAGTTAAAATTTCAGTAACAGTAAAAACTGATAACTTAAAACTGACAGATTTGTGTAAAAACAGTCACACCCCTCCCCCCCCCATTTGAGCTTATCTTGACGTTTACAATATTGTGTCTGCAGGGCTGTTTATATTTAGCTGGAATGATAAATGCTAATCACCTAAATCTAGTAGCTTGGATTTCATTTGAGTACCTTCAAAAGTTAAACCAGATGACACGTCTAGCCACCATTGTGTTTGGTTAAGAGATCAGTCAGCTGGTCTACACACCATCAGCGATGTGCAATAACACATTTACAGATACACGGTCCAATAAAAGCTCACTAAGAGCCTGTTATATTTCAGGAACAGGTTTTAATGGTGACGCAACATCTACACTGTAGGAATAGTTTCAATGGGCTAGATTCTCTTATTTACATAGGGTTTTCACAAAGTAATACAAATATTGCAGAATCCATGTCAAAGGATATATATAATACATTAAACAGAAGACTGAACTTAAATGTTGTATAAAGCAAATCTCACCACTAATCTATAAATGAAACCAAATGATCGTAAAGGACCAATAATTAGCTACTGAAAAATCAAGTCCTACTTTTTATGCAAATTAGGCGTCCACAAATTTAGGAAGAAAGAAACTCTTGTGTTTTAGGTCTGTTCAGCTCAGACTTCTTAATGTCGGTAACAATGCTTTACAAGGCGAAGATAACAGAAAAAAAACAACACGCAGTTTGTACAGCTTAATTGTCCTTCTTTTCTGCCTCAAAGTTAAGACGGGGAAAGTGAGGAAGACAGTTTTTTGCCAACACTTTCTCTGTTCACATCTCACTTGATGTGCATTGCTTTATCGTCTGCTTTTAATCGTTTGCGTCTGGGCTGTACAAAGTTGTCATCCGAGTCGTCTGCATCATCTTCTTCCTTTTCTTTTTCCTTTTCGTCTCTGGGTTCCACCTCCAGCCTTTCTGGGAAGTTCTGGCCTGGAAACATCTTCAACAGTTTGTCCTCGAAATACAGACTCACTGTCTTTCCAGATATCTCCATCTCTGACCCCACCTATCAGATAAAGAGGAAAAGGAAGGAAGGTAAAAATGGCAGGAAAGGAGGGGGTGAAGAGTGGAAGTGCAGGAAGTTGGTGAGAGCCAATCAGCAGAAGGAATGAAGGAGGGAAGAGAAAAGGGACAATGACAAAAGAAATTAGATGTGGTAAAGACTCCTGGTGGCAGGTTGGCCACCAGGACAACCTTGTTGTATAGAGCAGAGTTATCCTGCCTCCCTGTCCCACTGTGGTTCCATGAAGCATGTACACAATTGAAATAATTATTTTCAATAAATAAATAGCAAATGCAAATGCATTCATCGTAGTTCAACCTGTAAGTATGAAAACACAACGCACTTAACTCCTGTTCGCCAATGCTGTACTGCTACCATTTCTGGAACCAATCAGTAGCTCAAAATAATGACAAAGAACAACCTGTGAAACAGGGGACATCAGACCAATGATCGTTTGTTTGGGCTGTTATCTTCCCCAGTGTGGGATCAATAAAGTTCAATCTAAGCTTTTCTCCACCGTCTGCTTCCTTAGGGTCATGATTTAAACAAACAACCAGAAACAGACCCAAGACATACCCATATCAGGACTCTAACACCATTTCTCTGTAGCCTAGTCTGAACATCTGAGTTACTGCTGGTCAAATATATGAACAGCATTGAACTAATATATGAACTACCCTATGTTCAAATCAGTTTTTTTTTTAACAATTATTATGTCATAATAATGTGACTAATCCACCATTAGGACAACTACTTTCCAGAAGAATTTCCTGTTCTTTTAGCCATTATTGTAAAGGGGGGGGGGGGGGGGGGGGGGTGTTGCTCTTACCAGGTAATTGGAACCCATACAGTTTCATTACTTTAGGTAGAGTTTGCAATAGAGATAAAGCTGTTTAGGATGTTGCTGGTTGAACATCACCTCCTTAACTGAATTACAGGTACCAAGCCAGAGCATGTAGGTGGAATGGAGTAGTGACATTTGCTGTATTAAATCCTGGCCTGTAAAACTCAACTGCTCAAAGTCAAACAAAATAGCACTGCACAGGACTTGTTTAAGATCACACCCCTACAGACAATTACTGTACTGTATGTCAGTACCTCTGAGATGAATCTAGTATCTATGCAGTCACACTGTAGTTGCAGCAGTAGGGTAAGATATCACAGTTACCTATTTTATGAAAAGTCAGGTGTAATCCAAACAATCTGCATTTTAAAGCACGACTTAAATATCATGCTCGTGAATTCTCTCTGGGACAAAAGCCAAACACAATTCTTGGAGCCTCGGTGGGAGGGGTCAGGACACCTGTGCTCTCTATGAAATATCTTACCTGTGAATTAATGTGTTTCTCCTCATCATAAACCTGGATTATTCGAGACATCTAAAAAAGGGGCAATGACATTACAACAAACAGATAGTGAAGCAGCAGGGGGAGAAAAGAGTTCACAGTACAATCAAAGTGCTTCTGGACTACATGTAGTCCTTTGTTGCTACTGCACAAATTAACAGCAAGTGAAGATCCATACATTGGATGTATAAAGTCAATATATACACACACATATATATGTGTGTATATATACACACACACACACATATATATATACACACACATACATGGTGCATACTGAGGTTCTCAATAGCTGGTGTTGGCTCAACAATGACAACACATTTTTCTGTCTATTCAATTGTCCCCTCCCCCCCAGCCGCGCCCCCCCGAACTGTTACTATGGTTCACTGAACAACTGTGGTGTTCCCAAACAGCAGAGCTGACAAATAACACTTTCATAAGATATACCAAGCTAGCCTGTGCTAACTGCTAACTCATGTTAAGTTACTAGAGGCGAACGACTTGCATGAGCAGCGGTTGGGTACAGTTACATCTGTGTTTCAGGGGAAGATGGTTCCGTATCTACAGACAATATATGTTAACTACACTATATATGTTTGTTCTGTCTGTTTTGTCTGATGTTGGTCTGTGCTGCTATAGCATTCATGGTATTGAAACCAAGGCCTAGACAAATAATACAATAAATACCTTTATTATAATTGTCAATAGCCTTGTGCAATGGCTCAAATCAGTTTAGAATAAGTTGCTTTATTTAATATTTAATAGCCATCTTAACAGCTGTGTATTAAATCCCCTATATAATGCACATAAAACTGAATGCAAAATGTTTGGTTATTGAGAGAATAATTTGAAAAACAAAGACAGACTGTTGTGATACGAACTTCAAAAACAACAAAAGGTTTAGTTTAAATATTTGAACGTATTGCTATGGTTTGAATCCCACTGAAGTCAACATATGTTTATAGAAACCATCCCTTTTATTTACCTACAATAACTTAAATTTAGCAAATCTAACATAAGGATAACAACAAGTTAAGTCTCTATTACTGTCTTCAACTCATGCAATGCAACAGACATGAGGCCTTATTTCATTCCAGTGAAGGAACCCGCTTGCTGTTAATTTTTGGAGCATAACAACAGCACATATTAAACTTAGGTCATCTTTTGTACTTTGGATTCCTACTGGTTGATTTTATGCAAAATAAACATTTTGTGATAATCAGAATAACAATACACAGAGTGTTCACTCCTGTATTAATATTATATTATAATAATATCATCTCCCCCATGTGACTGTCCAGTGTGCATATACAGTGTGCAACTTTCCATTATTGACAATTAAGAAATTACAT